TCTGAAAAATTGATTCTGATTATACTTCTTCTAAAAAAGAAGCAAAAGCATAACCAATTCCAAACACCACCTAATATAGTTACAACTTACAAATTGTTAGGGCTTTTCCTATATCTTTTGTCTTTTTTTTTTTGCAACTTTCCGTTGTAACTTTAATCCTCTTTCTTTTTAATAAATTAAGGAAGTGTTCCCCGGCACTTCCTCCACCGGCCGTGGGTGGTTTGCTCCGGGATAAAAAAAACTTACAACACAAATGATGGATATTTTATTACAAAGCATTTTTGACCGGTTAGGTCAGGGGCGGAGTCAAGGACTGGCCCGAAATGAGTCGGTACAAAGAAAATTTTTAGAAAAAATTTACACAAAATTTTTTGCACTGAAAATTAAAGCAATTTCAAAACTTGGGATGGGTCAGGGCCTAGGTTTTCCCCCCAGCTCCGCCCCTGGGTCAGGTTATAGCACTCCCGTTTTTGCAAAGGCATTATACTAAAGTAGTATCTTTACCCGTATCGTGCACAAGATAAAATGATTTTGTTTTAGTTTTTTATTATATACATGTGTGTGCGCACACTGACATGCGTATGAGTTATTATATCAAACGGAAGTCACTTATTTAGTCGGTTATATCAATTGTTGATAATGCATATTCTTATTTATTGAGTATGTCTTATGCTTTAACTAAATATCTAAACATGCACTCAGTCTATGTTTTCCGATTGAAAGAGCCATTTTTATAGCTCTCAGTTGCATCCAAACCAACTTCGTCTTTTTAACCATCTTTATCTAAACAAAAATTGCTCAATTCTTATTTTTATCCATTAGATTTCAACCGTAGCGTACTTTTATTTCAAAACTAATAACTACACATTTTTGTAATTTACTCATTTAATAATGAGTGTGGTCATTTGGTTTGAAGATATTAGAGCCTTTTTAGGATTTAGAATTGAGCAAATTATCCTTTCTAACCCTTTCATTGAGAAAAGAGTTTAGAATATATAGTTTTATGACACTCTGACTTTAATGAAGATAATGGCCTGGCGGCGACAACAGACTGGCTGCATAACGTGATTGGTCGCGATCAATTTATTTTTCATTAGATTGATTTAAAACACACCGTAAGTGTTATTGAACGAAAAAAGGTTGCATGTTTTAGACTTTTAGTAGGTAATTTTTACCTAGAGGGCCAACTAAATTAACTTAATCTATAAAAAAATCTCTCATCAAGTGGTAGGTAATAATCGAAATATAAAGAGGTCAAACTATGCACTAGAAAATAAAAAGAAAGATGCCTAATATTTAAAACAAAAAAATGATCTCAATTTTATGACCATGCAGGGTCGATCCGTTGTCCGGGATACTGACCCCAAGCTCTCTCTGGGTGAGCCAGGCTCATGTTCACCTAGCCGTCCCGCCATTCTCCCCGAAATGGACTGACGGCTCGTGTTGCCTAGCCTGTTGAAGGTTGAAAGCTTACCACGTGTCGGGGGTCAGCACAACTCGAGGAGGAGAGGCGGTGTGGGAGGTCGTGTCTTGGGAGGCGTTCTTGTCATTGCCGATGAAGGTGACAACAGGAGGAGATGAAGGAGGTGGCGGTGTCGTGTTCTCCCCTGTGCTTGGTATGAGAGTGCTTAGGACGGTGGGATTTTGAGCCAAGCTGACGATGATGACCGATAGCGTAGCCTGGAGCTGCGGGTCAACAGGGGGAGTAGTCTGTTGAGCCGAAGCACAGTCAAATGAGTGTTTGTTCTCGAGCCCGATGCGGGCGTCCTGAGCGTTGACATTGAGCTTGTTGTGAAGGTCCGCAGTGGGGTCGATGGCCTCTTGGAAGGCCTCTCTCTCCACCATCTTATAGGCCGTAGCGTCACCCGACCTCTCTTGGTTGTTGTTGTTGTATTATCCAGCCCTCTGCAATTCCAACTGAGAATACTCATGCCTGCTCTTCCAACACCACAAATAATCATCACCAGACGTTGAACGAATCGATCAACGCTGGAATCAACAAAACCCTAGATAACTAGGGAGACGACCGCCGTTCCATTTGCGACTTATAATAATCCGGTTAACGGATTCTTGGTTAACCAAGTTTGCCCCCTTCAATTAGAGTATTTTATTTTACAACAATATCATGTATAATATGGAGTCCCATATGAAATATCTTAAGAAAAAAGTCCATATTTTTTAAAAAACTGGATTCAAAATGAAAAAAATAAAAAATCAAATGATAAGGAATTGTCTTACCACATACCAAACAATTAGGGCGGGGTGAACATTCCCTTCCCAAGAATGAACAAAACTGGTTTGTAAGATCCGTATTAATAAGAAATAATTCAAATATATAATTAAAATAACGTTTGGTCAAAAAAAAATTAAAATAACGTAGTGGCAAAAAATGTTGTCCTAGTAACTTAGTGACTATAATTATATTTAAATGTTACATAGTACTCCGTATATCATAATGACTAGAAACTTATAATTTATAATCACATTTTTATCTATAATTTTTTATTTGTAATTAAGAAAAACTTCTATTAATAATTTAGAAAACGGAAAAGGTGGTTTCGTTAAAAAAAACGGAAAAGGTGGTTCGAAAAGAATACACATAGGTATGTTTGGTTCAAGGAATGTCAGATTGCTAGGTATGTTAGATTGATGGGAATGTATTCAATTTATTCCCACTTGTGTTTGCTTAACATCAAGGAAATGTCAGATTGCTGGGTATGTTAAATTGATGAATTACTTTTATGACCTTTAAATATTTTCTCTTAACACAATAAATCTATTACAGCATACATCTAAAGTGATTAAAATTAAAGAAAAAATGAATATCTTAATATTAAATAAAATCAAACCTAATTGAATTATTTTTAAGTAAAATATGTTTAATTGTAAAAAGTTGTAGATCCAATACAAAAATGAAAAAAAAACTTTGTTCAAATAGTAATAAGATTATATTTATTATCATCTAAAAAAAATTAATATTTAAAAATGATCAAGTCAATCGTAAAAGTTGTTTTCAAAATAAAGAAAAAAATGACCAACTTTGCTATTAAATTTTGAAATCCACTCATCAAAACTTAAATAATCTATAACTCTTATAAATACCTTAAAAAATTTAAATGATAAGGAAAAAAATTATGCAAATAACGAGAACAGACATTCGAATATAATCAATACTCCGTCCGTCCCACCTAAAAGATTGTTACACAATTTACGATGTTCGACAGACCATGAAATAAAACTAACCGATCTCTGTCAACAATAAGATTATTTTTAGTAAATAAAATTTACATATTTAGAGATTGCATTAAAAGTTTTATAAAGTCACAAAAAATCAAATTTGATAACAATTGAATATGCAAAGAAATTAAATGAAAAGAGATCATTAATTGAGAGTATTTTCGGAAGAAAATTAAATCACCCCGGGAATGTGAGATAACCTAAGGCATGGACGAGATTAAGATTCTCATCCATATTACATTCCCGGGAATGTAACTTTCCCGATTTTTTTTCAAACCCGTGAACCAAACAAGGGTATCTAACATTTCGTGCATCAGTTTAGGGATGTAAAAAAAAACCGACCCGCAGTGACCAGCCCTGGCCCGAGACATTAGGGGCAGGTCCGGCCCGCCCCGTCTTCCAAATGGGGCGGGTCCGCCCTGCCCCGCCTATACAATGGGGTGGGTCCGGGTATTAGTATTGACCCGCGCCGCCCCGACCCGACTCACTCAATACATAAGCATACATATTTTTTCTTCAATTACACTACAAATATACTTCAACATACACATGTGTGTATACAATAAATCATAAATTATTTGATCTTATAATATATTAATACATATATTAGAATGAGATGAACGACGGATTATCAATGTCTTCTTTATATATAGCATTTTAATACATATGTTCAATTATTAGTATAATTAAATAGATTAACTATTCAAGTCTGAGTAATTTTTCCTTAAAATTTAAAATTTTGAGGATATCATGAATTTGATTTAATATATTAATTTTTAATTATTATTTAGAGATAAACTTTATGTAGATTCAATTGGTAACAATTTTTCACAAATAAAATTACATACTAGCTAATTAGGTTACGGCGGGGCCGGGCAGGGCGGACCCGCCCTGCATGGGACGGGTCATGGGTTAACAAGTTTGGACCCGTGCAGGTCACGGGGCAGGGCGGGCGGTCACGGGGCAGGTCCGCCTCGACCCATTACCATGCCTATGCATCACATTCCGGCCTTCATGTGAGATCTCCCCAACCAAACGGACCCATAGGAGTTTGGACTACACGTGTTGTGGTCAAATTAGTGTCTGCATTAGGAAATATTTTACGAGTATTTCTTATTGTAATTATAAAAAAAGGATGACACCCCATCCCTGAGGGCCCCCAACATCGACCGGACAGCACGATGGGAGGATGTAAGTTGGACTATAATCACAACCTGATAGATAGAGAGTGGGGCTCCGTCCCCGGTACTTGCAGAGGCCCTATGCATTTTTCAGCATAGTAATCTCTTATCGCAGTCAGGGCCGTTTTTTAGGGGGTTCAATAGGTTATCCAGAACAGGGCCTCCGGATTTATAGGGCCCCAAAATTTTAAAAGTTTATTAGTATTATATAGTAATATTATATATTAATACTAAGCAGTAAAATGTACTTAGCTAGTAAGGAAGAAAAATATAGATTCATCATTTTTTTCGTTGATCTTTTTACTCTTTTAGTTCTCTTTCAATGAGTATTCAATTTATTTAATTGTAAGTATTTGGTTTCTTGCAAAAAAAAAGTATAAGTATTTGGTTTGAGATATTTTTTTACTTTTTTTTATATAAAGTGGGGCCCCGTTTATTAGTTTTGAACCGGGGCCTCCAAATTCATTAGACGGCCCTGATTCGCAGTTGCCAGGATTCGAACTCGAGAGCTAACTTTTGTGGCACTCCCTCGCTACCAGTTGAGCTACGCCCACACGTTTCTTATGGTAATTGTAGAAGTATAGAACCCCGCATTTTGTAGGGTTTTCAAAGCACTTGCCCCGTTGCCCGCCCCCATTGCAGCAATGGGAGGATAGGGGCTCACCCACATACATAGATAGGCAAAGCTCAAAAGTCTTCTTTCTTCCTTTCTTGGTCCAGTTGATTCTTTCATACGCTTGGGTATGTTTCGTCATCTCTCTCAAATCTGTTCTTTTTCTCTTATATGAAAACCCACAGTTTTATTGAAGTTAGCGTCACGATTTGGTAGGTTCCTGTTGATTTGTTGATGCCCCTCACTTTCCTGGGCCTTGTGGAATGATAGGGTAGTGATTAGACTGCTTGGGCTTTGGTTTTAGGGATGAAGATTAGTACTTGATTGCGAAGTCTTTTTTATTCCGGATAATGATGACGAAAATGAGCACTGTGTCTCTTTTGACCAGGGGAAAAGAGCTCAGATAAAGCTCTTAAAAAACGAAAAAGGAAAATGTCCCCAGAGATGGAGATGGTAGTAATAGTGTTTCTCAATTGCAGGGAAAGTGAAAGACACAGAAGGCAAAAGAGTGCCAAACGCTCTTCATTCTTCTCTCTTTATTCCCCACTTTTTCGCCCACACGCTTTGTGCAAGGGTTATGCGTCCATTGTGTGCTGAACAAGTCTGTTTTTCTCCTTTCTATATTTAAACTACTTGAGGCCTGAAACTGTAGGAAAAAAGTTCAAAAATTGTTCTATGTTTATGGGTAGGAGGGGTGAGGTAGGTGGGCAGGTGTTGGATCTGGAGACTGCTGTTAAAGATGGGATTTTGGGAGGGGGTGGGGGAGGAGTTGGGGTGGTTGCTACTACTGAGAAGAACATTACTCTGCAAAAAATGATCAAAGAACTCAACTCAATTGATGTCCCTTCAGTCTTCATTTGCCCGATTTCTTTAGAGCCAATGCAAGATCCGGTGACCCTTTGCACTGGTCAGACGTATGAGAGGTCCAACATTATGAAATGGTTGTCATTGGGCCGCCCCATTTGCCCCACCACAATGCAAGACCTGTGGGATGATTCAATCATCCCAAACAGCACCTTACGCCACCTGATTCACAGCTGGTTTTCCCAGAAGTATTCCTCTCTAAAAAAGAGGTCTGGTGATGTGGAAGGAAGAGTCTTGGAGCTTCTAGAGACATTGAAGAAGAAGGTTAAGGGTCAGGCTAAAGTCCAGGCTTTAATGGAATTGAGGCAATCTGTCACTGCCAATGATTCAGCTAAAAGAACTGTGGTCAACAACGGCGGACTAACTTTGATTACTTCCATGTTGGGTGGCTTTACTACACATGTTGTTGCTTCAGAGACGATTGCAATTTTGGTGCAGTTGAATCTGAGCCCGGATTCGAAGGTGTGTTTGGCACAACCTAGCAAGATTTCACTCTTGGTGGACACTTTGAACGAGGGGTCGATTAATACAAAGATCAATTGTGCAAAATTGCTTGGAATGTTGATAGAAGGGAAAGCTCCTGAGTCAAATATAGCAACAAGTTTGAGCCTTTTAGTTGGGTTATTAAGATTAGTTAAGTTCAAGAATCAGCCCGAACTGGTCTGGTCCGGTCTGCGGTTACTTAAGACAATTTCATCATCATATGGTGAATCAAGGCTCTTGATGGTGCGGGTTGGAGCTATCCCTCAATTAGTAGACGCCTTACCCAACTTAAACCCAGAATGCTTGGAGTTAGCCCTTCATGTTATAGAGTCTCTCTCAACATGTCAAGAAGGTGCATTGGCTTTAAAGGATTGTAGTAGAACCATTCGAAATATTGTGAAACTTGTGATGAATGTTCCGGAAAACTGTACACGGTTGGCTTTGTCGATCTTGTTGGCAGTTTGCAAGATTTCCCCGGAGGAGTGTTCTTCGGTGGCAGTTGAGGCAGGGCTAGCTGCAAAGCTCCTTCTTGTGATTCAGAGTGGTTGCAATCCAGAGTTGAAGCAACAATCTGCTGAACTTTTGAAGCTTTGCAGTTTAAATTACACAGAAACCATTTTCATATCTACACAAGTGTGAAATGGAAAAAAGGATAGAATAAGGCGGTTTTGTTTGTGTTATTGATAACTTGACATACTGCCTTTGATTGCCTGCCCAATGTAATTGTAAAGATTGTATTTGTATGTTTTTCAGTTTCTTTTGTAGGTATAAAGTCAACAAGTACATTTGATTCTTTATCTCTATACCATGGGTTGATTGCCATTGTTATTACATTTTCTTTGCTTAACAGTCATAAATTTGTATTTAATGTGCTGTATTTCTTTCTTCACCATAGCTGCACACACTGGATTTGTGTTTTTGAGTTACCCGGTAGAAAGCTTTTCTCAGTAAGCCATTGTACTTCAAACTATTTGGCTCTTTTAGGGAAGGAGAGTACAAATCAATGCATACAGATGCAGTCTTTGTTTTCTATGACCCTTTTATTCTCTGTCAAAAGATGTTGATTAGAAACTTGTCATGGGACATAGTTGGAACTTGGAATGGAGGATGGGGAAGATAAAGGGTATCTTATGCAACCGTTATTTTGCTAAAATGCCTCAATCTGCCGGATATTTGGGGAGGGTTGTTTGGTAATACTCATTATGGTCAAATAATATTGGTCAAAAGCTACTTATTTTGTTTATTGTGCTGATGAATAGAATAAGCCAAATCATGAAAAGATGAGATGGAGAGAGACTATACATATAGTGAATGGAAAGGATCACAAAAAGTGGGATGATTGCTTTCTTTACACTTGTAGGTTTGAAAACAAGGATGCCCACGTACTGCCCCTTTGACTGAAAAAGAGAAAGTGAAAAGAACAAAAAAGTGGAGATAGGGGGTTTAACTGTTTAAGGTGTGTTTGTTTCCCAGATATAGTGTCATACTGATGCGAGGGATTGGATTAACAATCTTTCAAATATCATGCTTGGTATGTTTTGAATATGTAGTTAACACTTAACAGGGACATCATTATTTGGTCTGAAAGCTAACAGAACATAATACATATTAGTTAACAGACTTTTTGTAAGTTTGATTCATTACTGGATTCGTTAACAATAAAAAGTTACACACGTATCTAACACAAGTTAAGTTCAAGATATAATTTGAATTTCATTTTTATTACAAATGAATTTTTCAATATCCAAACTCTAACTGTTCACAAATTTTCAATTTTAGTAACGGATTCATTCGACATAATCATCATCATCATTTACCATTTTCAATTTTAGTAACAGATTCATTCGACATAATCATCATCATCATTTACCCCAGTGCCGCAAAGGCTCCCCACTTACGTTGGGTTAAGGGGGTCGGATATATTCATTCGACATAATGTGCTTTATAAAATTGGAATTTGGAAATGAATCTTGAAGACTTGAAGTGAACATGAACTTATAAAACACTCTCATGAACTCATTCTCATGACCGTTTAATTTAATTTGATTTGATGAGATTTAGTGCCTTGTACACACGAGAATAATTAATTTTACGAGCATATATAGAAAAATGATCAATTTAAGTTTAAATTGTACACTTATGTGTTTATATGATTTGGCGTGGTTCAATCCTTTTAGAGCACTATACATACTATGGTTGGCCCGGGGCCGGTCTGACCGGCCCGCTCGGTGGACCGGTACCGGGCCTAGGCCCGAACTGGGGGGTTTATGGGGGCGGGTCCGGGTTGCACCTCCTTTGGAACCGGCCCGGCCGGGCCCGGTCCGGACCCATTTTTTTGGGGTTTTCAAATTTTTTTGGTGGTAGGTGGGTTGGGCTGGGTAGTTGGGGGTGGAATTAATTAGAAAAGCAAAAAAAGAAAAAACTGGTCCAAGTTTGGCCCGCCCCGGTGGAATCCCGGGCCCGTTTCGGGCCTTTACCCACACCCAAAACGCCCAGCTTGGACCAGCCCGGAGCGCGTCCTGGCCAGGAACCGATCCATGCCTAATACATACAAGAAAAAGTTAAATTTGGATAGGAAAATGGGCCTGTTATCTTTTAAGTTTTGTGGATATGTTTGTAACTATTGGAAAAAAACAAATTGTTAGATCTATGGTTGAGAAACTTAGTTGGCATTGCCTTAAGTATATGTATGCAGAATATTTGATTCAATGCCCGTTAAAGATAAAAAGAAAGGGACCCAGAGATTTAGTTGGCAAAGCATTTTCAAGGATCTTTGACTGAGACTAAATAAATAGCTAAAGTTGTATATCTATATATATATAATAACAAAATAGTGGGAAGTAACTTTTGGGCGGGAACACTGTAGCTAGCTTTTTTTTATTGTTTGGTTAATTAATTAATTATTTAATCAATCTTGGGCGACGAATTCGATTTTGAAAACCTGAGCGGCATATGCTGCACAAATTACTAAGAGACTAATGTGGTTAACAACCATTAATTACAGTGTCTTTTATGATTCCTAATAATGAACAGTTTTTTTAAAACATAATAATCAGCTTTTATAAAATCTGTTAATAATAAATAGGATCAATTTTCGAGTGCCTCTTGAAATTCCCTATAGCAATTATTGTCTTCAAACTGGATGCCACTATATATGTATTGAGTTAGGAGTGCGGGTAATCCTTATCAAGGTAGTATCGATGTAAGACACCCGGGCACAACTGCACATACGGATATACGGAGTACGAAGTACTTGATATGAGAAGAAAACCATTATCCTTGGAAGAATTCTAATGGTACACTCTTGCTTTTTAATTTACCATATTAGTGTTAAATTTTACGAACTCAAATATGTACTACTATTCATTTTCTAAAATTCAGTTTGCCTAAAGAAATGTTTGCATCTGCTTTAGTTTCTTGCCTTTTAACACCAAATTTAGATGGAACTAAAATTAGTTTCTTTTCGTGAATTGTGTAGCTAGAAAATCAACCTTTTTTTGTGAACTAAAATTTAGAGATTGTTTACTGAGGTTGAATTGATTTTATTGTACGTTCTTCTGGGGCGTTAGTAAAGCATTCCAATATAATATATTCTCTGCACTTGCTTTATGTGAAGATAAATGCATTTGTATATGAATATGATATATGCAAAAAAATTGAAATTCATTGTCATTTGAAGTTCTAAGTCGTGACATACTGTCTATTGACTTATTAGAAAAAAATGTTCTTGAAACCAAATCCTTTTTATCGAAATTATGATATACTTCGCATTACTTACGGAGTATATCAGTAATAATAAGACCAATAAAGAACACGTACGGATCATAAAATAATTAAATGATTATTTGAACTATGGATGGACGGGTAAAGAGAGTTTGACGGTTGAAGTACCAAATAGCCAAATGATGTTATGTGTATTGAATGATTGATAATACTATTTATAATAATAATAATAATAATAATAATAATAATAATAGTAAATAATAATTATAATAATTGAACCATTGAAAAATGTGTTTATATAAAATCTAAATTTGCATGGAGGTGCACATTAAGAAATGAAATTAAAAGATTTAGAAAAAGTAAAAACGGTCACTTTCCGATTTGTCATTTTAGACTTGGTATGAAGATATCGCTTCTGCTCAAATACATAGGCATAATGACAACATTTTTCATAATTCTCTTATTGAATTGGTATATGGTTCAATTTTTCTTTGATAATTTGAAAGAAAGTTTGACGTGCAGGTTGTCCAGACGGAATTGAAGTGCCATTTCCGTTGGAGCTCATTTTAATTCTAGATGCACATATACATTCAAAGTTATTTCTGAGGCGAGTTCTTATGGTTGTTCAGATTTGGGTTTCTTTTATTGGGGTGTTGGGTTCGTTGGTAAATGGATGAGATATAACTGTTGGCGTTTTAATGTTATTGTGCAATATTATAATAATTATTTTATTTAGTTTAATTTGATCGTTATTACAAAGTATATTCAAAATCCTTTTCATTCTCATTGTGCTATATGAGCACGTAAACATATCATAAAGTACTACACTACTACGTATGATAAAATATATAGAGAGTATTTTTTAAGGAATGTGTCAGAAAAATGTTTTCAAATTATTAGAAATAGGACAAGGACCAAATCGGACACTATGGAGAGCTTCCAAGGGGGTCAGGGTTTTTTCCACTTTTAGTCATCTGACTATTATGTCATTGGCATTTTTGGTACATGACTTTGATTTTTTCCATTTTTAGTCCTTCACTATTGTGCTAGAGATACTTTTGGTACCCATGTTTGAAAATTTTCATATTTAGTTCTTCAACTTTTATAAAAGTGACACTTTTGGTTCTTCAACTATTATAATAATGACTTTTTTAGTCCTCCACTTATTGTGTCAAAATTATAATGAGAGGACTAAAAGTGTCAATTTGATAATACTCAGGGACTAAATGTGGGAAACCTTGAAGTCGGGGAATAAAAGTGTCTCTAGCACAATAGTCAATAACTAAAAATGGAACAATTAGAAGTCGAGTATCAAAAGTGTCATTGACATAATAGTCGAGAGACCAAAAATGACAAAAACTATTTAAATATAAATCTAACATAGAGAACTTTCAAATGCATTTCAAAATCTTTAAATACGGAGTAGTATGGAGTATAATGTTCATTTTACATCACCGTTTTGGAGTTTTGTTAGAAGAATCGCCGTTTTGCAGTTTAGAAATTTCATTGATTTGATTTTCTTAATATAATTAAAATATCTATTAATTTTAAATTAAATGTACCAACTAAGTTAGTTACTGGATATCCGAATTAAAAATGAAATGAAAACACGCTTGAAAGTTTAATGGTTTATTTAAGGTTTACATATAACCTTTATTTTCCAATCCAATCCGACTCTTTTTCAACTAAGGTGTTCTTTATGTTGAGGATACTGACGGAGTTGGAACCGGGTGGATGTGGAATCAGATTCTACTTCGGCTATTTCTGAAATCCGGAAGGGATCGAGTATATCTTCATTAGAGAAGCAAGCAAGGAATTTAGTAGTATTTCCTTTTCACATATTAGACGTTCTTTGAATAGGGTTGCTCATACTCTAGCTAGAGTGGCCGGTTCTCAGTCTCAAAGTCGGTTTTGGTTGATGACTCCTCCCTCTTTTATTGTTGATGTATTGAACAATGATTTGATTAATAATAATTAATTCATTTCCCTTCAAAAAAAAATTGAGGATACAGTATAGTTGGTTACAAATTTAAATACACTAGGTAATTGTAACGCAATGGATTCGATTATTGCTAATTTTGCTGCAATATTCCCGTGCATCGCACGGGTACAATACTAGTTTTGCATAAAAAGGAGATAGAGATGGAGCTGGTGGTATGAGCTGTTTAAAGTG